GCCCCGCCTTTCCTCTCTGCCAGTCAGTATATACGGGGTGGAAACATGGGCGGGGCTGAGTGTGCTCAGCCCCGCCTGTCTTTCAGTTACAGGTTACAGGGCGGGCATTTGGGAGACGCGAACGAATCTGTCTCAGGCCCCGCCCTTCTACTTCTCTCTACCGGTCGGAAGTGACGTAGAGGCAATTTCCGGTTCGGGTCTCGCAGTGTCATTGTGCAGGATGATGATGAACGGATCTAAAATGAGAATGTTCCCAGGGGGACCGGCACCGGGAGAGCTCCACTCCTTCCCCGGCATGGGGCCTCACCGACACACTCTGTGAGTTCCCTGATGATGAAGGGGGGAGGGGGATGATGGTTTCACTTTCACTTCTCTCCACTTGGTTCTCTCTATATCTCTCCCCTATATATACTCCATGTACCTCTCACCACCATCCCCCATATGCACCTCACCCATCCCCCCTACACCCATATATACCCCTTCACCTCACCCTCTCCCTTTTATATATACCTCATGTACCCCTTTCCACCTCGGCCATTGCTGGATGTGTCTTCCGGCCTTCTTGTATCTCTTCCTATCGTATGATATAACGGTGACTGTCTGATCTCTCCCCCCTACAGGAACCCCATGGTGACGGGAACCTCAGTGCTGGGGGTGAAGTTTGATGGAGGAGTGATGATCGCAGCGGACATGCTGGGCTCCTATGGCTCCCTGGCCCGATTCAGGAACATTTCCAGGATCATGCAGGTCAATTCGTGCACCATGCTGGGGGCTTCCGGTGACTACGCCGACTACCAATACCTCAAGCAGGTCCTGGAGCAGATGGTGTAAGTGCAAAGACCCCCCCGTGACGGTCTAGCTTTGGAGCATACCTGGCACAGGTAAGTGCATCGTGGGGGAAGATTGATGTGATCACATGACGAGGGGGAAGGCAGGAAAATACCCCCCCTTCACATGTGGGATTTGGGTCCAGACATGAGTTGGATCAGCGACCAGTGGATAAGGGCATCTGCCCCTTGCTGCGCCCCCCTGGTCTGCCCCTTGCTGCGCCCCCCTGGTCTGCCCCTTGCTGCGCCCCCCTGGTCTGCCCCTTGCTGCGCCCCCCTGGTCTGCCCCTTGCATTCATCGGATTACAGTTCTTCCAGTCATGGAGTCTCCGCATCACGTGGGCGTTGCCAAGGACTGTGTAATTAATGAGTCTTTCCGGAGTCATGTGCTTTCACCAGAAGGAAGGGGATTGGTTATACGTAATGTAGGAGGAGCCTTCAATTAAGGTTGTTTTCTTCCCTGCTCTGCAGCCGTTGATGCGAGACCTCGTAGACAACAAACCCAACCTGACGCGGGAAGAGGCCCGGAAGCTGATTGAGCGTTGTATGAAGGTCCTGTACTACAGAGACGCGCGCTCCTATAACAGAGTAAGTCCCCAGCTGACCGGCAGAAGTCATGTGGCGTGCTCCGCCCAATGCTAACCTCTCACCTTCCTCCCTTAGTACGAAATCGCTGTCGTCACAGCCAGCGGAGTGGAGATCGAGGGACCGATATCCTCCGAAACCAACTGGGAGATCGCACACCTCATCAAGTAAGAGGATCGAGCCGCATGACACTAAGTGAAGCCAGGGGATTAGAAGCTCCTCACTTCCTGTCTGTGTGACAACCTATACAAGGGGGTCTACAGGGCAGGAAGTGAGGGGACCCAAAAGAAGGTCCAACCTGACCCCGTGCTATACAAAACTTTTAGAAACACTCGGAGTTGTAGTTGGGCTTTTACTTTAAGAAGTCTTTCTGGCACCGGGCCACATGACCAGTGAGGCGGATTCCTGCATCAGCAGAGGTCAGGTTCAGATGTGGTCCTGCACAGAGCACTGAACTCATACACATTTGGGATGAATCGGAACGTCCATTGTGAGCCGGGTCTTCTCATCCATCATCATTACCTGACCTCACAAATTCCCATAGGCGCTCTCCAAAATCGTGTGGAAAGCCTTGCCAACGGAGTGGAGGATGTTGGTCACAAAGGGCGCACCTACTTCATATTAATGGCCACGGGTTTGGAATAGGGCCGCAACCAACTAATCGATGATGAGAATTGTCAGCTATTCTCATGGTCGATTAGTTGGTTGGCTCCCCTAGCTCTCTACTCCATCCTTGGAGGAGGGCACAGCAAGGAGTGGGCGGGTGCCTGCTATTGCACCCGCCCACTACCTGCTGAATCTTGCCACCAGCAGCCATCATTCCCGGGTTGAAGCTATTCAAGCGCCATGTGCTTACATTACAATTATTATAAAAGGTGGGAACAAGTCATTTTCGGATTCGGCCCGACAAAATTCTGCTGCGGGAGGTGCGTCGCAGTGCCATTCATTTCAATGGCACCCCAAACGCTCCTCCCACCCACAGTGTGACCGCCTGCACTGAAACGCACCGCATGCACTGAAGCGCACTGGTACCGCAGGGCAGAGCGATCGCAAAAAATTGCGCATGCCGTTTTATTCTGAAGACAACTTTGTAACACGGCATGTGTGTATTTTATTTTAAATTAAGGATGGGATTTTTTTTTTTTTATCCGATTAATCGAAAGATTAATCAGCCAACTAATCGGTTATGAAAATATTAGTCGCAGCTCTAGTTTGGAATGGGAGTCTAACAAGATCATAAAGGGGTGATGGTCAGATGCCCACAGACTTTTGGCTAAAATGGAATGAGAGTCCGTGTCGCCCCCGATCTATCACCGGTCTGTCCCATCGCAGAATATTCACCTTCGTCTGATCTCATTATTGCAATGGTTGTTGTCTTCACATCCTGAACTGTTCCTCATCTTCTGTCTTTTTTCTTTTTCAGGGGCTTTGAATAAATAATGAAGATCCAGACACCCCCCTCCCCTTATGCAATGCTTTACTGTTGCTGATCAGTGTCACCTTTTTTTGTACAATAAATAAATCTAATGACTGACTTTGTCCCGCTGTCTGTCTGTCTGTCTGTCTGTCGGCTGGTTTTATTTCTCATCAGCGTGAAAAGTGTTTTCCCTTGAAGGATATTCTAATTCTTAGGGGAGCAGATGTCCTGTACCGGGCCCCTTCGTGTCAGCAAAGGGTCCCAGGTTCAGCTTGGGAGCAGGATAGGACCTGGTGTAGATGAGGTCTGGGAGGGGCAGTCTGGTTCCCACCCTACTGATGGCAGGTGGGGAGGAGCTGGATAAGGAACATGGAGGCCAATGGGATCCAATGAGGGGTTCACACCTGGCGTGTACCCCCTCTATGTATAAAATGTTGCTGTAACTCTACTTGCTGCGGTCAGTGCAGAAAGGTTAGGTCAGTCAAATGCCGCTGTGCTCCCGGGAACCCCCCTAGCGCCGCTGTGCTCCCGGGAACCCCCCTAGCGCCGGGTCATCTAGTGACTCCAAGCTCACCGGTGTCTCTAAGAGTAGCCCAGTGCACCCTGTGTCATATAGTGTCTCAGTGTGTCCCCATGCAGTCTCTGGCACGCTCCACAGTTGCCTGGCCTGCTATGCTTCACCATCTGTACCCGCTGCTGCATCGTTACTCCCAGGTACAGTTTTGAAAGTCCCGGCATTGCCCTTCACTCAGTGGATATGGACCTCTGTTTTGTGAGGTCCCGGATGACCCCGGTGACACCAAAATGACTGACAGTCACCCCCTCCTTAAAAGTCGGGAACTCAGCTCATGGACCGAGAGCCCGACAGTGTCAGGGGAGAGGAGGGGACCCGGCGGCATACCTCATCCCGCCGGGTGAACGTCCCCCTCCTCTCTATGCCGCCGTCCATCACCAAGATGGCCACCGCCAGGTGTCAATTAGATGGCTGCGGGTGCACGATGACGACACGGCGGGGTGTCACACAGTCTCCGCTCCGGGTGACACACGGCATCGGGACGCCCCTGGTGCAACGTTGAGGGGTACGGCAAAGTCCTTAATAATAGGAAGTATTACTTCATACCACCTGGAGGTTATAACTGGACAGTTCAATCAATGAAATGATCCATCCAAGAGATATAGAGAACGTTAACACGTTCCATCCACACCAGCTGAGAGATAATCAGCAGTGATCAATGCATCACCCAGAGGTGAGCTGTCTCGAGTGGCTCAGTAAGTTAAGGCAATGAAAACGCATGTTATCAGGTAAGTGAATACTTGCGTTTATTGATCCCTGAAGGATCCCATTCACAGGAGAGGAGCTCGGTGAAACTATTGTATACAGTAAGTCCAAGATGGTAGGAGGGAGTAGAAGCTACTGCAGCCTGGGTGTAAAAGACAGCCTGTGTCAGCCAGGTTCAGCAGCAGTAGTCTGATGATGGAGGGAGGAGTAATCCTTGATGTGAGCTGCGGTGGAGGTGCACTGTAGTACGTGCAGGGAACATCCAGAATGGTGAGGTCAGGAGACAATTGTGGAGCGGCTTGTGCTGGCTGATGTGAGCAAGACGGAGAGCGATAATGTCGGTAGCAACCACGCTCGGCGTCCACCAGAATACAAGGACGCCGAGTAAATCAAACGTGTCGGCTGACCGGAGAGGGAGGAGAGGAGTGACTCCGGCTGCTGTGATTGGCTCTCACTGACTGAATCTGAGATTAATGAGCGGGTTAGTATATTTCATCAGGTGAGGCTGACATCTTTCTACCTGGAGAGATCTGGGGAATGTAGAGTAGCCCAAATCTCAGAGAAGACACCCCCGGCACTGTGCTACAGAGTCTTCTCCCCAGATTTGGGGTACTCAGCACTCTCTGGGATCTCTCCTATGAGAGGATAACGTTACCCCCTGCACTACGGGAGCTGGAAGGAAGGGGAGGATAATGGAGATGTGAGATTTGTTTCGTTCCAAATCAAAATTCAGAAATTCGGACACATCCGAATGTGTCGAAAACCGAATTTCCGATTTCCGTCCGAATTTTGTTGAAAACTGAAATCGGACATGTGACTTTTCTGGCCAATCGGATGTTTTTCGGTTTAATGCATCCGAATGGGTCTGAATGCGAATTTTCATTATGGCAACAAGGGAGCCATATACAATATATACATATAATACTAAAGCTGAGGCTGCCAGACCCGAATGGCATTCGGCATCAGAATTGCGTTGGGGATCTCCCGAATACCATTCAGGTCTGGGAACCTCAGCTTTATTAATATGTATATACTGTATATGGCTCCCAGATCCGACGGGCATTCGGAGCGCCTCAATGCAATTCGGATCCCTAAATGCCAGTCGGGTCTGGGAGATTCAGTTTTAGTATTAATATCTGTATCTAGTTTTCTGGGATATTTGCAACAAATATTCATAAACTTCTCCGAAACTAACGGAAATTCGGATTTCTTCCAAATACGAACCGAATTTCGGATCCGCGTCCCGAAATATCCGAACCGAATTTTTCTGCAGCTTGCAATTCTAGAGTATAACTTTTTCCTATAGGTGTCTTCTAGCCCGGTTATTAAGTAAAGGGTGAAGAGTTTGGAGAAGGCCGGAGAAGTGAACAATCTAGGACAACATAGCTCACCCGGAAACATTCTCCAATTCAGCTCGTTTTCCGGGTCAGCGATGTTGGCCTAGATTGTTCACTTCTCCGGCCTTCTCCAAACTCTTCACCCCTTACTGAATAACCCTGTAAATGTTTTTCAGTGTCTCAGGAAGGTGGAAGAGGGGGGCACACCTAAAAAGTGGACCTTGTCTGGAGTACAAGGTCAGCTTTAACGGGATGCTATTGTCTACATATCTATGAAAACTAACAATGTACATTTTCTCTTCTTCCAACAGAGTTGATGGCCGGGCACTGTGCCCACCCAACAAAAACATTCAGGTTCTCCAATTTGCCGCGGTAACAAATATGCGTGTACAGTGGGCAGAGAAGTAAGTTCTTGTGAAGACTCCGGTCTTGTGTATATGTCATTGTATTGTCTGCACCTATTCTCACCTTCAACTTTCTTTTCCAGATGTCTGGAAGATATGAACTGGGACTGGAAAGAAGCCAAAGCAGCATTTGACCACATGAAAGTAAGACATTCAGCATGGAAGTAGATTTGTATTTCTCCGGAATGGTTTGTTGTTCATTTATTTACTTTTTTATGTTTTTCAGGCACAAGGAAAGATCCCCGATGATTTCTTTTATAGGTAACTTCATCATTACTGTGTAATGTTTTTGTACTGTGTACATCTTCAAGGAGAACCTTCTTCTTGGTCATGTAAGATGTCACTTCTATCCTCTGCAATGAAGTCTCTGTGCTCCTTCTCTCTCACTCTCCATATTATAGATGCCAAGCTAGGTCTATGTTCTCATTAATAACATACATATCCTCTTTTACCAACAGCAGGATTGGCAAAAGACAATTGGCCAAGTCCATTGACTTGGGCCTCAACTGGACTGAGTAAGATGGACTCAGCCAATTTCAGGCCCAAGTCAGACGGTTTGCAAAAGGCTCCGGCCTTAAAGGAGAGCTATGGGGTCAGGGCTTTTCCTCATAGTACTCCTTAGGGTAACGGGAGGACACAAACTAGCGTCCTCCCGTCACCCTAGGCTCAGTATACCGCGAGGCACAGCTCGCGGTATACTGAGACGCCGGAGCGGATCCCGACATCGATGTCGAGATCCGCCCAGCTGCGTGAGTGACAGCTGGCTCTGCCTATCTAGAGGCAGAGCCAGCTGTACCTGCCCCCTCCCCCGTCCGTTCCTCCAGTCAGCGCTGGCGGATCGGAGGGGGGGGAAACCAGCCCCTACCCAGTCATGGCAGAGAGCCGTGACAGGATCGAGAGGTGAGCGAACGCCGGTATATGTTCGCTCACCTCCCGATCTACTGAGCCGACCTGTGACAGTCTCATTGTCACAGGTCGGCTAGAACTATGAGGTGAGTGAAAAGCACTCAATGGGACTATCTGCAGGCCGTTCGAGAATTTCTGTTATGGAAGGTAAGAGTATCATCACGGAGCCGAATTTGTTTCCTACCACAATAGTATATTTCCCAGTCACTCATACAGTTTCCATGTTGGTTTTGCAGGCATTCCAGAACATACCATCAGACGCCTTTATGCCATAGCCCCTTAGGAGCTATGAAGGCGCCACCAGCTGCGCCCACAAGTATCCAATACCAAATGCCTCATCAATACGGAAAATTGAATACTTAGCTTTGGGTAATTTTCCTTTCCTGGTGCCTTGACATGGCAGCATACCCCTCCATGTAGCTGCCATGTCGGCACCAGGAAACTGACATTTACTGATGAACATGGGGCCAATGCTGGAGTTGGCCACATGACATGGCATTTGGTCATGTGATCTCGGCCAATGTGGCTTAGGAAAGTGATATTGCTAACGGTAGTTTGTTTTCTTTCCACAGCATCGGCAATCCAAACATCACATCATCCGGACCAGAATCTATAACCTTCCAACTACACCAGCTCTTAATATAACATCATTGTGGATCCAGGGATTATCCGATCGCCTTCGGGGTCAGAGAGGAAGTAGGCCTAAAAGGAGAACTATGAGGCGAGTAAAAATCACTCAGCCTCAAAGTTCGAGACGACGTGTGACAATGAAACTGTCACAGGTCGGCTCAATAGATCGGGAAGTGAGTGAACACATACCGTCGCTCGCTCACTTCTCGATCTATCCCTGCAGATAGCCGTGACCGTCACTCACGGCTCCCTGCAGGGATTCCCCCTCCTCCAGTGCTGACTGGCGGAACGGACTGGGGAGGGTACAGCTGACTCTGCCTCTAGATAGGCAGAGCCAGCCGTCACTCACGCAGCTGGGTGGAGCCACAGAATTGTCGGGATCCGTTCCGGCTGCATCGTCTCAGTATACCGTGAGCTGTAGCTCGCGGTATACTGAGCTTTGGGTCACGGGAGAACGCTAGTTTGTGTCCTCCCATTACCCTTATGAGAACTATGG